TTTTGAAAGCTTGTTCCAGTCCCTGATTGTCTTGGGCAGGAATGAGCAGTTCCTATACTGGCTTCTTGCTGGTATGAGCCTGAATTGCCTGGCATGGCCTCGTCGCTGTCTATGGGGGTGAGGGACGAGTTTCTGTTTAATTATCCCATTATTTATCTTGTACATCATGGAGAGCCTGGATTGTCGTCGTCGTTCCTCCAATGGTGACCAGCCAAGTGTTTCCATGCCAACACTCGAGGTATTCCTGTAGCGGTTGAGGACAAAGCGTGCTGCTCGTCGCTGGACCGCCTCCAACCTGTCAACTATGTGTTTGATGAAGCGATCGGCATGCTATAAAAGTGCACATACATGTTTGCTAACAATACAAGGCTTATGTTTGGTGCCATATGTGGGGTGCCATATGTAGGGTGCCATATGTTGGGTGCCATATGTTGGGTGCCTTTTTTCCGGATTATCCCGGAATTCGGATTCGTGAGGCTAAATTTTTTTTAGCTCCGTATTCGCAATTGTTTATTTTCTCTTGTTCCGGAGTCGCCAGTTCAGTTTATTCAAATACGGATTCTTGGTTTGTTAACAAAAATCAACCTGTAAAGAACGCGTGAAAGCCTATTAGCGACAAGCGGGTGCGCTATAAATAGAACAAGTGCTGCGTTTGCAAGCCTCTCGCTCCTCGCTTCTTGCTGTGTCAAGTTAATTGCGTGGACAACGATACTGTCATTTCAATTACTACAGTCCAAAGTAGGCACGTTTCTGTTGTATATAATTTTTAAAAGCCGGCGATTGGTCATGGGGATCGAGATAACCGAGGTTAAGTGGCCAATTTGGCCGCCTTTTGTGCTCGAGATATCAGGGTTTGGCGACATAAAAGAATCGACATAACCGAGGAGAAAATGCTAATACAAAGAGAGAATTTGGCGGTTCCACTTCAAAAACGTTGACATAACAGGATTTGCGAGTTAACCGAGGTCGAGATAAGCGAGTTTGACTGTGTATTGTTTCGTTGTTCTGGTGCGCGTTTTTTACCCTGAGTTAAATCATGGATGTGTCTAAATGTTGACGTAGATCCGGGGAAGCTCTTGGCAACCGCCCACACATCTCTTTTGGTTATATCATCATTAGGGGTCAAGATGACTTTCAGAACTTGTGTGTGTGTGTGTGTGTGTGTTTGTGCTGCAGGTGTGGAGGCGGCCCAGCCCTCAGTCCGTGAAGAGTCATTAATCCCGTTAAGTTTGAATAGTTTATCAGTCAGAAGCAGACGTCAATGTGATGCTGTGTTTGGAATATTCAATCTCATTGGTCAAAAGCACAACAGCAGCACATCAATATTACATCAATAGCACAACAGTAGCACATCAATATTACATCAATAGCACAACAGTAGCACATCAATATTACATCAATAGCACAACAGTAGCACATCAATATTACATCAATAGCACACCAACAGAAAAATCAATAGCACACCAATAGCAACTTCAACCATTTACATTGTTACACGACATATACTACAGACAACTTCATGGCATTTACATTGTTACAAAACATTGACTACAAACAACTTCATGGCATTTACATTGTTACACAACATTGACTACAAACAACTTCATGGCATTTACATTGTTACACAACATTGACTATAGACAACTTCATGGCATTTACATTGTTACACAGCATTGACTACAGAAAACTTCATGGCATTTACATTGTTACACAACATTGACTACAGACAACTTCATGGCATTTACATTGTTACACAACATTGACTACAGACAACTTCATGGCATTTACATTGTTACACAACATTGACTACAGACAACTTCATGGCATTTACATTGTTACACACAACATTGACTACAGACAACTTCATGGCATTTACATTGTTACACACAACATTGACTACAGACAACTTCATGGCATTTACATTGTTACACAACATTGACTACAAACAACTTCATGGCATTTACATTGTTACACAACATTGACTACAAACAACTTCATGGCATTTACATTGTTACACAACATTGACTACAAACAACTTCATGGCATTTACATTGTTACACAACATTGACTACAAACAACTTCATGGCATTTACATTGTTACACAACATTGACTACAAACAACTTCATGGCATTTACATTGTTACACAACATTGACTACAGACAACTTCATGGCATTTACATTGTCACACAATATTGACTACAGACAACTTCATGGCATTTACATTGTTACACACAACATTGACTACAGACAACTTCATGGCATTTACATTGTTACACAACATTGACTACAAACAACTTCATGGCATTTACATTGTCACACAATATTGACTACAAACAACTTCATGGCATTTACATTGTTACACAACATTGACTACAAACAACTTCATGGCATTTACATTGTTACACAATATTGACTACAGACAACTTCATGGCATTTACATTGTCACACAATATTGACTACAAACAACTTCATGGCATTTACATTGTTACACAACATTGACTACAAACAACTTTATGGCATTTACATTGTTACACAACATTGACTACAAACAACTTCATGGCATTTACATTGTCACACACCATTGACTACAGACAACTTCATGGCATTTACATTGTTACACAACATTGACTATAGAAAACTTCATGGCATTTACATTGTTACACAACATTGACTACAGACAACTTCATGGCATTTACATTGTTACACAACATTGACTACAAACAACTTCATGGCATTTACATTGTTACACAACATTGACTACAAACAACTTCATGGCATTTACATTGTTACACAACATTGACTACAAACAACTTCATGGCATTTACATTGTCACACAATATTGACTACAAACAACTTCATGGTATTTACATTGTCACACAACATTGACTACAAACAACTTCATGGCATTTACATTGTTACACAACATTGACTACAGACAACTTCATGGCATTTACATTGTCACACAATATTGACTACAAACAACTTCATGGCATTTACATTGTTACACAACATTGACTACAAACAACTTCATGGCATTTACATTGTTACACAACATTGACTACAAACAACTTCATGGCATTTACATTGTCACACA